TGCATTGGACCAAGATACGACAATGTTAGCATCGAGGCAGGATAAGTGCTTGGCGGGCCTCGGGTCTCGTTGTTTCGTATGACGTAGGAACCGGCGTTCCAAAGGCCTTACTCCACGGCACCTTATTAGCTACATGCAATAATTTTACAGTTTTTTTCGGGGGGGGGAGATATCTGCACAGTGCCAACTGTGCCCATTGGATAATCCGGCCAGTGGTGTAAATTTGTGCAAGGGAATGAGGGGAAAGTAATGACGTAAATAAATACCCAGCCATTGAAATTTGATAAGAAAAGGGGTTGCTGACACCACAAGGGCGTTGTCCATGATACTGACGTGTAGGCCTATTTGGAATACAGTCATTTGCCGAAGTTTAAGACCACCTGAAATTTTATTGGTATTTCTGTAACTGGGCCTGCATTACATTGTCTCATTGACTGATTACTTAACATGATTTTACAGTGCTGCATAACATCAGTGTGGTGCTATATACCCATTTGAATGAGGTTTTTTGCAAAGGCAGGTCTTGTATGACATTTTGTCTGTAAGGCAGCTTGGGGAAAAAAGCCAGTCTAAGCAACCAGAAATAAAGGAGGGAACACTGAATATTAGACTGTTAACATGTCAAATCATGGAAATGTGGTCAAAAATGTTCAACCAAGGTACCAAGGTTACACATTGAAAATAAACATAAGTTGCCATGATTGATTTGTTTAAGTTTGGTTTTCCTTCAGGTTAATGCATTTTCTATGAGTGGTCCTAAACTTTTGAAAATGACTGTATGTCTGCTGACACCCCCTGAACCTTCTACAGCCTTTCTACAAAATTCTAACTAAAATTGACTTTTCTTTGTTCTTTTCTCTACAAAGCACGGGTGAACAAGAACAAATAACAGCCTTCGATTTCTGACAAAGTCTGCCTCAGGAGACTTAACTCAGATGAATCAGGGTAAAATTCACAAATCTGCAAGGGCCCAAGCGACGATGCAATTCCAAGGTACGACACGACTCAAGATGATGCCACACGAGGGGCTGGAAAGAGCGACGTACTACCTGAAAGATGGGAAAAAATAACCGACGGCAGGACGCTACGCAGGACGTGAGATAGTACATGTACAAACAAGCAATGGCACAAGAGCGCCGGTGCGATGCAACACGGTCGATAACTACCCCCATCAACTCCACCATGGTGAAATGCCAGTTTTCTCCTGTAACATCACAGTACTGTATATATTCCAGTAGACCTATTGTAGACTGGTCCATACGAGATACTGCTGGTTTCGATCTCAGTGTTCTCGGTCCTCCTCCCCAAGTCACTGTCTTGGTCTCTGAGATTCGAGGTCTGAGGCCTCGATATTTTGTCAGTTTCCAGATCCATACCACCATACCACAGGCCTCCAAGAACTATCTGCGGTCTTTTGAAACTCATTCATCTAAATGTGAATTCAACTCGTAAATTATGCAAAATCGGCCTCAAAAGCAAGATTCGGTCTTACCTTACTATCCCACAAAGTATTCATTTCTTAAGAGTCACACACTTAACAGTTACGTGCACAACAATGCTATGATACAGGGTCATACAATGCTTATATGATAGGTCTTGGTTGCTTGTTACTCTGCAATTTAAACATTAGATCCAGATGTCCAAACTAGCAAGTCTCCAACTTGATTCTAGGACGTCAACGACTCGATTTCTGGGAACAGTGTACGATCTTAAGATTTTGAGGCCTGATTCTCGGATTTCTAAGTCTCGGTCTTTCCGACATCTAGGTTTCGGCACCACTGAACGTGTCAACCAGCCAATGCGAGTACTGTTTGGCACGATCGCCCCATCACGCATTGCGATTAGTCTATCCAATAGCAAATCTCTAACTATAATTTTACACAAACGTGGATAAAAAAAAGCAATCCGCTGTTGGTGGATTTATTGACAAATTGTGTCACGAGATCGACCAATAACGCAAAACAGATGAATTTGGGAAAATCAGGATATCTTGATTTAAGTTATCAAATTTATATTGATCCGTACCAGTTTCAAACATGCATTCGGGTTAAGGCATAAATAGTACGCTACCTGGATCCATTCCACTGCCATCGTCCAAGAAGCACAGCATGTATCCCCCACGGAGTGTTTCGTTTTTGTCTACAACAAACAGATTGTTTGAATGATGTTGATTAGTAATTTTTCATCTAGTAAATGAACATTACAAAAACATCTTTGATACTATGCAAAGTCACGTAAATTAGAGGTTTAACACACATGCTTACTGCATTTATACATATATATTACATACGGTTCAAAACGACAGAAGCAATTTTACCATTACACATGTATGATCTATATCTTTGATGTATTGAAATATTATCTCTAAATATTAGGGCCTATGTCGGATTAGCATTTACAGCATTATAAATTTACACTTATCAACTATACACACAGCAAAACAGTAAATTGTAAAAAAAGCAGTAAACACATTTGATATATCTCAGATTTCCTTAAAATACTACTTGGAAGGAATTCTCTAAAATGCTGAATACAATAAATCTATTTGAAATAATTCAAACCCTGGCGTTTCTTGGTCAAACGTCTTCCTTGAAGTTCACCAACGGCCTGAAGTGCAGTACTTCAAAGGTGTACTGCAAGTCTGCGGAAATATTTTCCCTCACTGTTGCAAACGCCATTACTTACAACTGTTACGACACTTTGTCTACTTAATTACAAATGTAGACACTTTAGACACTCATAAGAATTATTAATCTAATAAGACACTTATAAAGACAGGTGTATGTCTCGACAAAATACATCTATGAGCATAAGAGGTACATAGGCCTACATTAAAGTATGGCTGCAATGAAGCTTTATTCGACACAATTTTTCTGCATCTTGTAATCTTCAGCAATTTAGGAATAAATCTTTTACATTCCTATTCGGTTAACTGCATTGAAAAGTGCACTTTTCAAACTTTTAAAATTATCCATTCTTCCCTAGACAAGTGAGGGTGCTGTTGCTGTGATGTCATCAAGGGAAGACGCGGTTTGGGGCGTAGGTTTTTCTATTGAAATTGTGAACCCGGAATTTGCTTATTGAAAACATTTCTGAGAAAAGGATTGCTGTTTGCTTATTACTACGCACATAACAGTGAATCAGCAAAGAAGAGAAACTTTGGTCAAGCAAAATCTACAAAAATGCAAGACTTTTGTTGCACGAACAAATGTAACGTTGAGGCTTTCTTCTTGGGATGACATCACAGCTTTGCTCATGAACATGGAGAAACTCATTAACATAAAACCAAAAAGGAAGTAAAATACCAAGTGAAACTAAAATAAAGTTGAAAGTAAGGTTAACTGAGACACGAAGGTGCATTTTGAAGGTAGGGCCTATGTAGCTGCCCTGTAATACACAACACAAGAACAGGGTTTCAGATACGCCTTGAATTTCACGCATAACATTACCGTCACTTCAAGTCTCCATGCACAAAACTCTACATCTCCATATCTTCAACACGAATTGGTGCCGAATTGGTTCCGAAAATATTTTGACATAGAAATTCGGGTACGAGAGAAGTAGCCTGGGTGGCGGTATTCAGTGTGCAGCCCATAGTGTATTAAAATGATGAAGCTTGGACGAAATCCTTGGTTATCTAGTCAATAAATTAAAGCTGGCCAAATGTCAAGCGGGTAAGGCTATCAACGTCGGGAACTCAGTGTTTTTGAAAACCCGCAGGAGACACTTCCAGTCTTCTTGATGCTCACAAACGTTTTGTTTGCAATCCTATTAGTTCACATGGACAATTTCAACCTGCTGATAGAGTTTATATGTCCGTGAAATAAGCCACCAGACACCAACTGAGACACAAACCTTTTCAAGTCCACTGCAGCACAACTGAATCTTTCATCGAGATACTATTCCGTCCAGTGTCATCATTAACGTTTAATCAGGTAGGCGCCTACATTAATCAATCATTGAAAGGACTATACTAAATCAGTTGAGAAACCGTTTGCGAAACATACCCACACAATCACGTTAACTGTTCAATAGCTGAAACAATCCCATGCATCTGCAACTGGAGCGATCAGACACCCGCATCCAGCTTCTTGACCGACCCAAGAGACTTATCACGAACCATCTGGGCAACCCTGGAAACAACGCCTAAGTCTACAAATAATGTACTGAAACATTTAAAATACATATGTACAATATACTCCGAACAGAGGAAAAGACCATAACATATATACATGAATGGAAATATTTCAATAAACTCCAACTAATATTCTGGGAATACTGAAGACCAGCTGTACTACAAAAGGTTCCTCCAAAGAACTTGCTAAACAAAAATGCAGCTTTACTTTGAACCCCCAATATGCAGAGTGTAGTGTGTCAGACACACAGGTTAAAATGATATTCCTTCATTTTTATTAACTGGTCGACCTTTTTAAGTATACATGTATCTAATACAGTAAACTGTGGTAAGAAAACCATTACACAACCGTACGAACGTTATGCATGTACCTACATATGCTACTATGTAATTTTTAAATGTCTTCATAAGTATATAAAAAGTGTTATGTTTTGATTTGCTGTCTTCAAAAGTGATGCCGTTTTTCATTTAAATGCAAGACAGTATTCGTTTTGCCTCTGCAGATACCTCGGGGCGCAATAACCTTTATTATTGTCCCCCGTTGATTTCCTTTTACTAGTTGCCGTATAAAAATAACTACGCGTTTAACACGAACTTTCCAATTCCACTTTACTATTCTTCGTTTACTTTATTCAAACTCGTTTGGAGGAACTTAAACCTTTCTTCAGAACACGACCAGTAATTACGTGTATGCAGTCCCAGACATGTCCCTCTAGTGAACACGTGCACCACAGTGACTTTTACAGAATCTGAGAAACATTGAAGTTCACATAATTACATTGATCAGCCAGCGTAAGAGCAACAGTTCCCATGCTTACGTATAGCCAAGCTCTCCTCGGGGAAAAGGGGAGAGTTCAAAGGGCGGTTTCCCCCTTGACCACGCCACTGATCAAGGCACAGAACACTGTCAAAGTACCCTTAATACACATCAATGGACAGATTAAACTGGCTGATTAAACTGTATGGATATGATTTTATAGAACCAGTCCCAATGAAAAGAGTGACCAAATCCAAGCAAAAGCTGCAGTTTCTATCGAAGTCTCCTTCCGTGCCATGTAATGTACGTATATGTGCAATGTATCCGCACTCTGGCAAACTGAAACGAGCAGCTTCCTTGCGACTTTCTTGTATTTGAAACATTCTAAAACTCACTTTTCTCTGTCCCCTCTGTAATCTGTACATTGCCAGGTATGTACATGTAATGACCTCTGTGTTTAATGTGGTTTTCTTTGTAAAGCACAACCGTCTTGTTTAAAAGCTCTTTACAAGTAGCCCTACCTGTTTTATTGTTAAAGTGATTTTGTGCCTAGTACGGCGTGCAGAAACAGAAACACCAGAGCACAGAACTTGCGTTAAAATAACCTTGTCAACAGACTGTAATATGTACATGTATTGCGTGAATTCTAAGAAAACCGAGGCTTGTGCGTGAACCCGTATTAACAACCTTATTGCATCATAGCACTTACGTAATATTCCATGTTCATGTAGTTAAAAGAAAGCAGGCAAAACATCTTTTGCCTGATGACCGATAAACATGCATTCCACATGTGCCAATCTAACAATGACTGAGCACTTTGGGACTGACATGAATCTGCTTTTATGAATCTGCTTTTATGGATCGAACTTTTTCATGTTACGTCTTCAATACTACCAGAATTTTCTTAAAGTCACTGCATCCCCTGTACGCCTATGTCAGATCAATTTCTACTGTCCCAAATTCTGCACGTATAACTTACCAATCAATGCAACACTTAAGTTTTGACGGGGATTTGTGGCTAAAGGGAACGCATCCCATTTTCCTTCTCTTTCTTTGACCCCTCGGGTGTTCGGAGACAGCACTCAGAAAAAAAAACACAACGCCTCTAAATTTCGTTTATTAGGTATCAAAACAAAAATGGCAAGACACTTAATATTAAATGACTAACAACTTTTCCTGTCACTGTGGTCGACACATTAATACAAAGATTAAAATTACATGTAAATGAAATGATTATTTCAACAGTTGAACACATTATCTATACACCTGAGCATTTAAATCAAAACCCAGATGTGGTTGTAGGCACAACCACTGGCAAATTTGAGTTGAAAGAAAATTGTTATTGGGGAGCTTTCCTCGAATCAATGAAATTCTCGTATTAGTTACATGTTAACAGACCTCTCTCTCATACATTTTATTTTGGTATTTACAAATCTGAGTTAAATTTTAATACAGGTCTTGGTCATAACAATATATTAATCCCTCATGAAATATTCCAAGGGCGTTGATCAACCCTCATTAACATGTTGAATAAAAATTTGAGGAACGTGTTGAAGGTAATCCAGTTGATGGGCAGCCTCTATTTTCGGCATCACATGGACAATCACGGCCAGTCTGGCTTTTCATCAACTCACAAGATATCTGCTTCTCCACTTGCCCGAGATCACCTCAATGGATTGTAGGACCCAGTTTGCAATTATAGGCACTTATCCTTCCCAAAGGTCCTCAAAACCAGCTGACGATCGCACTTTAAATAATCTATTTTATGCACTACATGAATATATATGCACATGTACTCTTATTCGTTTACTCACTTTTATGCAGTGATTGTTATTAAATACAACTTACAAATTGTGAATTTAAATTACATGTAGGTCGATCACTAAACTTTATAACAAACTAGTCTTTTTAAAACCCCACACTTACCGGTGAACACATCCATTCGCCTTGCCCTTGCGTCCCTTTATAAACGAAAGAAAAGATTTTTTTTATTATGTCAGAATTAGAGAAACCTGCGTCACAAAAACTAATCACTTACTTTTCCCTTGATTTAATAAATGCCAACTATTTGTGGCATTTTCGGAATGTGACATCAGATATACAAATATCTTCATGTGTGACAAAAAAAATTTGCAATGATTTGTTTACTTGGCCTTCACGTAAACGGGCGCAAGCAAAATAACAATTTTGAATTTAACACTTTTGAAGTATCTGTTTCCCCCAAGTTGTGGGGCAAGGTTCACCTGGCATTGTCAAGCAGCTCCGCCAAAGCTCCAAAGAGAAACTCGTGGGTTGTTCTGTGAGACAATGTTACAAAAAGAACAAACAATAAGAAGCACACCGTGAACACAGAAAGAAAATTTAAATGCAATTGGTAGATGGGCTGATTGGCAAGCGCACCTGAAGGTCTATCTGCAAATTTGCCTGAGACAAATAATTCTGCACTGCCTATATAGCTTCCATAACGTAATTGGACAAGAACAGTGTAGAGGTATGCGGGCCTTTGCTTCGACATGCTGAAACTGGCGGAACTTGTGTACGACCAATGACTCTCCAGTGGTCAAAAGTTATCAGCGAAAAAAAACCAGAGGTATCCACAAGCGACTACAAAAAATGAGGGACATCTGATAGAACTCTGTCGTAGAAATGCCGTCGATGGAACAGAGGCACAACAGACCACCATTCGCATATTTTGACATGACAAGCCTGGAGGTTTGTTCAATTGTATGGAGTGAGTTCTGCCGAAAGCAACGACAGCATATATGCCATGCTAATTGGGCACAATCTGTAAATTAGCAGGTGCCAATGATTGTGATGTATATTAATCGTCGACTCATAAATCCGCGGACGTTTTGCCAATAGCACCTTTACGTTATGATGGAGAACATTTGAAACATTTCTAGACAAAGTCGACTTGTAAATACAAAGTTGTATTTATTGTTTTCATGAACATTCGGCCTCTAAATCTGGCCTACCACAAAATTGAGCATATTTATACACACGTACAAGTACGCGTACAGGCTTGCAATTACACTCTCACGTGCCCCAGTGTGCCCTTATACTTTTTTTAGAGCCTAGAAGCGTCTATATGCAGACAGTTTACAGGGCAGCAATAAAATAACATGCAGTGTGCCAAAAGATGGCCAAGGGGAAGTGTAGTGCATCCTCTTCTGCAAAATTTATAACGCCAAAGCAGTTTGATTTTTTAAGCTAACGCGTAAATTTCTAAAGTTCCTTTGGATCACAGCCTGGATCATTGAGATCAATCGCACGCTGGGCGTAGACAGCATCCGCAATCTGCTGGAATCATAGAGCTCTAAAATTATAAAAACATGAACGCTAACTTCTCATTCTCTGCGCGGAGAAAATTTGACGCCGTCGTGGGCGCCAGACATAATAGATGTCGAATTATGTATTCTAAATGCACTCAAATACAACATACGGAAATGTCAGCGGGTCTTTTGAATATGGCGCACACGTACAGAGCAATGGCACATGTTTATTTTCAACCATAGCTGATTATTTTAAACAAATGTTTCCCTAAACATTCGAGCAAGGTCGTCTGAGTTTGTGTGCATTCGTTCGATGAATAAGTTCAGCTAAATGAAAAGTCATTCCCTTAATAAGCCTTTTGCGAGTTAACTTTGACCCAAATCTGGTACACTGAGTTCTTTAAATTCACGTGAACATGACAATTTGATTTCTCCTTACTAAAACCACTGTTGCTATATACCTCGTGATCCGGGGCAAGCTTTTGCTTAGTGACATAAGAGACGCCTTGCAACAACACACTGGTCTTAATGCATAAGAAGGGCACAAAGGAACCAGTCCATTCCAGAGATGGTGGTCGCTATGCAAAAGCTTGCCCCGAATCACGAGGTATAGCAACAGTGTCTTTAGTCTGAGGAATTCAGACGGCTCCAGACCAGCAGCTGTCCGGATCGGGTACCGATGAAAATTTAAAAACAAAAGTCACGACAAAATTCATGTACAGCGCATAGTCCTACGCGCACGAGCAAAATTAAACGCTCATTTAGTGATTATGCGCTCATTATCAAGCACTGCCGTTATCACCGTTGGCAGTGTAGGAAAGCTGTTCTAACCAGAACATGGCACGTTGAAGGTCAATAAAAACTGTATAACAGCCTTTGTCAAATATTTCAGCACGCTTTTCTCGAAACTAAGTGAAGTTTTTCAGAGCCCCGAGATTGGAAAGTAACGATTCTTTGCCTTTAAGTTTGACACTCATGTCAAAGAGAACTGAAGTGTGACGTCACTGTGAACCAGAAAGTGCAGTGCAAACGAATGGAGTACGTGTGAGTGTTGGTTCATGCGCTGGTTCTCGCGCTAATGCCTTTTACACACGAATTGTGCGCGTAACGTATTCATTTCGGTACTCGGCATGTATGCTCATAATTACGCACACATGGAGATTTGTATTGTTACGTTATAGATAAGATTAAGCAACTTCGCCAGCCAGTGGTAGCAATGCGCATGCGCCTGCCTTATTTGCATATTTCATGAAAGGTCCATATAGAACTGCGTACTTATGAAAACTCTCGCCTAATTCAACACGTTTTAACATGGAAAAATGTTCGAGAAGCGCGGGTGAAAAATTAGCGCAGGGTAGGATCTAATTCGACTTTGTCAAACTTGCATGATAATTCGGACAGGTCGCGTTTAGCAGGTGTACAATCCAGAAGTGTATTTTCACCATATAAAGGCTAACATATCAAGAGTGAAACATCTTGATTTAAAAACAAAGTTCTGAAACAGTGACAAAAACTTTAACTTATAAAAGCTCATAGCACATTCAAGGCAAAGTTACTTTCAGTAACCTTTTCACATTCTCCAATGAAGATTTTGGGGTTTCTCGTTACCTTCATTTACGAAATTGAACACATTTAGTTTTTTCAAATAAACCCAGGCCTATACAATGAATATGCAAAAGCTGCCACTGCATGCTTGACTTGCCTGTATTTCCCGTACTACCAAATAGGAGAAATAAAAACAAGTCACGCTGCAGCAGTGATAAACGGTTTCATTTTAGTGCATGTCCCCTTTGTCTTTCTTGGCTAATGCGTGTTCATGTATTGACATCTTGTCACAAAAAAATCAAAGGTATCACATTAACAAACGTATCTATGAGAGCTTTATGGAATAGTTTACCTTTGCATTGACCTGGTAGGCAAAGGCCACAGAATTCATTTAGAGGAAATGGATTGAGATTGTAGGTAAATGTACTTGGCCTGTGAGAGTATTATCATGTGTATTATTTAGGCCCTGTCGGCATGGACGGCAACGTGCGCATTTTCTGCAGGAACTTCATTTTCGTCATAATTTTCCTCCTCGTGTTCATCAGCACCCCAAGGGTACCCAGCAGCCCCTCCTCCAGGTGTGCGACTTTTTAAAAAAAATGGGACCCCCTTAAAACGAGCAACCCCTGAGTAGTAACGACAGTCTGCCAAGTTCAATTACTGGACTCATAACCCGTCAGGTCAGGTATCCAAATTACAGTCAACACCCATGAATTACGTTGCACATGCTTTTATGATGGCCCCTCAAATTATTCCGAGAAATTTGGAGTATTACAAATCCACTTGGGAAGGACTGACAACCAGACAGGTTCTACAATGACCGTCTTTGCTAGGTTTGGATTCACCCTTTCAATAATGAAGTAAAACAAAATCCTCAAAATGCCAAATTCCCTGCATGGCATTTCCTGCGCACGTAAGATGGCTATATGCAACAAATGTAATGATGACACTTCACGGCCCGATACAGAAGTGCGGTAAACTGGGCCAACAAAAATGTGTGGTTTTATGAATATCATGCACCAGTCATGAAATGCATGTCACACGTAACAGATTTTTCCTTTTTCCATGCATGCACTGAGCAATGCACAATACATGACGAGACCAGATAACGTTGCCCGCTAGCTTGCACTGAAACAGCAATTCCCACAAAAGGCGGCCTCTTGGCATAATTCTGCCCTCTGTTGCCTAATTTTTGTACGACATCACAATACACTGGCATAGTTGACATGAACCACCACTATGTCACTATGCATATGTAAACTCACGAGTTTGTGTGCAGATAGTCGAAGCTGAGCTGGGCTCTACTCAACCCCTGGTAGACCACCATGGTTTCTGATCCTTCGGTCTCGAAAAGCAAGTTGTGTAGGCCTACATGTAAGACTAAGAAGTCAGCTTAGTAGAGCAGTTCAGCTGCTGTAAACCACTGACACGTGTTAAAAATGGTAAAATCAACAAGAAGTCGTCTTTCCTCAGTTGGTTGGTAGACGTCTCGCTATGTTACGACTGCTAAAAATGAGAATCCGGCCTCCATGATGAATGGTAATATTTGGAGAGAGGAAGTCAGAGGGACAACCTTTGCTTTTATGTGCAGTGTACAGTACACGCAGCATGCATGATCACGTCGTGTCTGGCGGTTCTATCCTCCTCCCAAAATATCCTTACGCAGAACCTTTGCCGCACTACATTCCAACCCTGCCAAAACAATCATTCGTTCGCGGTCGTTTTTCATTGACATTCGTGCCGATCTCCAGAAAAATGTACTGGGAACAATTGGGAGTTACACCCACTAACTGGTGTGGCTTGCTTTCATTGGCCATAGGTCGTGATTCTTTTCCTGAAGCCCAACCCCTCAGCGTGGGTGCGCTTGCAAGACGACGCTGAAATAATTCACATGGCGTCATCATACATTCCACACATCAACGCTCGCATAGGTAACGCTCACAAAGGTCAGTCACTCGATGAATATACATTTCACGTCCTGACGTTCTTGAACACGTAGGTTATTCTTCCGCGCAATGGCTGCCCGTGCCGAAGGCCATTAATACACGTACGTGTGTACGGAGATTCAGACAAATTTTGCTACATGTAGCAAACTGTTGGGTAGCTTACTGAGTAGATCCACAGTTTGAGTGCTGCTGAAATGCAGCGTGCAGTGAATATGTGCGGAAGTGCTGGTTGTCGTTATAAAGTGATGCATGTTACTTCAACTGGTGCACAGTGACGGTGAACTTCGACTCTCATTCTACCTTGTAATAGTGTGTGCTATACTGTACGCGTTCGTCTGTATACACTCCATGGTCTGTACAAGCGGTACATGTTATGATTGTTCCTTCTGTACATGCATTTGTGTACAGCACATGTACATGTATAACCATATGCATACGAATGTACATGTACCAGGCCAAAGATGTACATGTACAGTACACGTACAATGCACGTAGGCCAGCTGTATACCGGTACACGTACATGTCCAGTACATGTATATGGTCATATTCTACACGTACACAAGTTGGCATGTAAGGTTTACGGTAAGTGCTGGTAGTGAAACCCTTGTGTACAGTATATGTACAAGACAGGATGCGTATACAATAGTATATGATCTGATCACATTCTGGTACTTAAAATTTTTTTCATTGCAGCGCCGGTGTTAAAACCGTACATGCACAGTACCTTCACCGTAGTACTACTGTTCGGTGGTGAGACCAAGATAGGCTTTATGATGGCCAGAGAGTAGGTTATACACACTGTACGTACATTTAATGAATATAGCAGCTACAGGACACGAAGATGACCAGGCCGACCTGTTGGTTAGAATTTACTTCATGTACGCTACATCATACATGGTCCGTTTTTATAGTGATTCATGTTATTAGCCAAAAATGCCATATTGTGATCCAGCATGTTGAAAAACAAGGAATCTTTAATTATGAAGAATGGGCAATATGCAATATTCTGTTATACTGGCAACTGCTTCCAAGATAGGCTAGTCGATGGAAAGGAACTATTCTTGCTGTGCATTTAACGAGATGTTGGTTGAAGAGTTTTCTGTTTGATTTCACATACAGTTTTTTTAATTCAACCATGTAACACCGAAACGAAGTAAAAGACTCATTTTGTTATGAAGGTTGGCGGTAACAGTTTACTACGTGTTGCTAGTTTATGTCCAGTGTGTACATTAAATCTCAATGAAGCCTCTAACTCCGAGATTAAACGTCAACAGCGAGACCACCCTGCGTCCAGATTGTGTTCCTTTGGCCTTTACGCTGTATATGGTATTTCTGTATGCCGTTGAAACCCTTCTCCGACAGATGCTTATTCCCACGGTGCAAACTTGACTCCCATTTTCTTCTTGCTATTGAATGGGTATTTGGGCATGTTTGGTTTTTACGGTAATGTTTGTTTCTAAGAAAAATTCGTCGCAATGACTCTTGTAACTCGGACTGTGGAAGATGCCTAAAACCCGCACAGAGCGTCTGCTTATTATAATTAACATTAATCGATTAACCCTAATCCCTAGGGTGTATCTAAAATCGTATTGGAATTGGAGGATTTGGGACTGTTAGGGTTAATCTCTATGCCTGCAGAAGCAACACACTATAATGCCACAGATAACAGAATAAAACAAAAGTAAAAAATATATGTACAGTGTATAGACACAACAATGTTCTCTTCGAAACAGAAACTTACCTTAATCTGCGACATGAAATCCCAAAAAGCTGTGTTCTTTGTTCAATGGAATTTAACAAAATTTGTACAAAATGCATGTATGATCCTCTGCAAAACGTTCCGCACTAATAAACACACTCCCTTTCTCTAACACTGAGAAAGGATGTGTTTTTACAGCAAGCAGTGGATGAGACGAGCATAAAACAGATCAAATTCGATCCAGTGAACTGTATAGGGAAGTGCTGATCGCAGGTGCTTTGAGCCTTGAGCGGTATTTCATATTTTTCCAGCAGTTTCGAAATATATTTTACTCTGAAAATACTTATTGTGTTTCAGGTAGTGATAATTAGCGTAGATGGTTAACGCACTGAATTTGACTTCCCCGAGGGATATATATGTATTTTACCAAGTAGGCCTAGGCCCTACACGCTTGTTGCGTATAAAAGTTTTCTCCTAAACCTAGCTGATATAGAACAGACAAGATCAAGAAAAACTTATCGGTGAATTATCTAGCCAAACCCCGTCGGTTTAGCCCTGCAGATGTTCCAGTGAGGGATTTATAGTATGCCCATTCCAACTAGGGTATAATTAAGCAAACCATACACATATCCTGGACTGTCATACCGGTATTTACCCAAGATTGAAAGCGATTAATAGAATTTTCGCGATTTTGACTTCCTGTTAGGAATGACTGAATGTGGTCGTCTCTCTTACATGTTCACACTTTACTGCTAACATGTACAGTACATGTATACGAAGTGTCTTTAATTTCTTTTCCTTTAAGACCTACTTACGTTCACTTTCAATTTAACAACTGTCACAATCATTTTGTAGCGAATCACAATATGAGCTATTTACAATGAACAATAATACAAATATACATACGCAATTTCAACAATAATATTCAAAAGCTACAGGCACAAAGGTGTCATCCCTATAAATCAAGAAAATATCTGATAAAACCTGTCGAGTGCTATCATTGTCTTGATCGGGTGAGTCAACATCATCGCACGTAACTCATCTATGGTTGAGACTACTACAAAAACACAACGTGTAGGTACATGCATGTATAGCGCAGAACTGTATTTCATTACAGATCACGAAATTCGGTATCAATTTAAAGAAGGTAATGTTCATTTATATGTTTGTTGCACATGCTTGAAAAGATGCAAGTTGCCAAGGTGCTATTCTGATGCCGCCTGGCGATCTTCCATAGAATTTGACAGTAACCAGGTGCGGTTCTAGAGCCAATTGTGTGTGGGGGGGGGGTTGACCCTTTGCACGTGACTTCGTCTTTTAACTGTCGCTACTGCTTGTTCATTTTTGGGTGTTTTTTTTTTGTCTATATAGACAAACGTTTAGGGGTAAGCCCCATCCCCTAGAACTGCGCCCGACAGTGACCTGCAGCAGCTGAGGAAAAAGGGGGAATCGCACATTCCTTCATTTCGGTGAAAACATTCTCGCAGTAACACGGAGTCAGGGAAACAAAGCCAGAACTCAACGCGTTTTGACTGCCTCGCCTTTTAAGCAACCATGGATCGCAACATGCTCCCCCCCTGGCATTTGATACTCTGTCCACATGCTGCAAATATATGTACATGTACATTACACGACGAGATGAGTCAATTTCAACAAAAACACAGGTTTTCTTTTACAAAAAAAAAACATCTTTTCGACCTGTCTGCTTCGCAAATTCAAAATTTCTGGAATGTAGCAGGAACACTTTCAGCTTTTTAAGCAACAAATAAATTTCACGTACATTAACGCTTCGTACTGGATCGCAACAACTTTGAGACAGTTCTCAAAACCATACGCAAATTAAAGCCTACACGCACTTAATTGTGATACAAATTGATACATGTGATGTAAACGAAAGAGCAAGTACTCTCAACGTCAGTGATAGGCAACGTCAGTAATAGGCGCTCTGAAACCAACACACATTCCAGGAACGATTCAGTATCTACAAAGCTTATTAACAGGAGCTCATAATATCGAAACTTTATCTGCATGAATTCCTGATATCAATACAGTATTATGACGGGATCGGGCGAGTTCTGCCCGTGACTTTCCTCTCATACATCACATAAGCTCGGTACATGTACATTTATATACAAGAGTGATGTCGACCATTCAACGGCCCATCTAACCGTGGTATATGTTCATGTGAGGTACTATGTACATGTATTCAGTATTGGAATGCATTTTGGTGAAGTTGTATTAAGTTTATAACAATCACTTTCCATTCAAACCACAAACACATGTACATATGCCATCGTTACATTCCTCTCTCGTTTGGGATTTTTTTTAGCAGGAAAAAAAATCTTAGCTATATTCTAAAACCATAACGCTTGTATAAAAAACGTCTACCTTCAACACAGACTAACTCCCTCTACTAACCCCAAACCACCCCATATATTCATAGATGATCCTGGAATCAACACACAGTAATACTACGTATCATTCCATTGATTTCTGTCCTTTCTTCTGCCTCAATCTCGAAAATGCAGCCAGTGGAAAACACGGTCATTTACCAGTCATGGTAATCCAACTTCAAACATTTGGCTGTGACTGTTAAAACAAAGCACAATGGAAAATGGTTAATATAGAATGTGCAACATTTCTGGGAATTGAAAAAAATACAAGCCTTTCAATTGTCTTTCTTCAACACACTTGTATGATACAACATCCCAAATCAATCCACATCAACCCATGTGTTCCCCGTATTTTGCCCTCTCAGGTCCAAATGTCAAAAGTAAGTCTTTCATTATCAGGTTAAGCTTGACCTTAGAAGGTCAAGAAATGAATATGAGTGAGGCATAGTTATTCGATGGCTGTCTGTAGAAACAAACCTTTTTCTCTATTCCAGTGTTGTGCACATTCCTCATCTTTGTCGGTGGTCCTTTTACTAATGCATAGCAAACCCACATTATAACCATAACAAACATGAAGTAACTGGTGTACATCAGATGCAGGTTGATGATTGACTGTTCGGCCTGTTGACAGAAAACATTGCACACACACATTTAGAGCAGCTCTGTCAATTTGACAGTTAAAAGATGGAAGACAGGTTTTCTTTTTCAACACGATTTGCCGCCAAACCCCCCCGACTAAAAACAGCCCACCTTGCATTGTCAATGAATGCTAGAAAACCCTACAGGGTTCTCGGGCTGTTAAAGTTGAACCCTATCATATATAAACATAAACATGCACACCTAATTTCCCAACATCAGGAGGGCAGATTACACCATGGGGAAAGTCAAAATGGCTCCTTGTTAACAGTTGGTAACTCCAGTGATGCAATCCTTTGAAAGTTTTATCACAAAATTTTCATTCCCATAAACTTCATGAAGAAAAAAAGAAGAGTTCAGGAGGGAAACCCAGTACCAAGCTGTGCGTAAGTACTAATATGTATGAAAATAAGTTTGCTGATGGCTTGAAAGTACCGTAGACACTACACAGGTCCATACCTGTGGCAGTTAATCCGTAAATGGAACCCCAAAGATTGTGCAGAAACAGACACGAGTACACGTATAGACATTTTCTGCAAACATGCTCATTGTTAGCGAAGACCTGCATTAACTATTCAAACAGCAAACCATCAATGTGAAAAAAAAATGTAGCTGAAACTTAAAAGTCACTTACCGAGCTCAGCATGACAGTAAGGCGTGGATCAAACTTATGTTTTGCATGAGCCACTGCTCCATGTTTACACCAGCTTTTTGGAGCGCGACCTGTTGGTCGAACATTCATCCAGGCTGTGCTGTTCTCGTGGTGTGAGTCGGTGGTATTACACGATACTGGTTGTCTATATTTAGAATTATGTAAAAGGTACAAGTGAGATTCAGAGGACAGCACCTACACCTACAAATGACCCATCTGGGCCAAGCGAGATATTAAATCGGGTTTTTCCATTTAGGAATAATTTTTCAGGGCTTCCTTTCAGCAACAGTCCTCTGCAGCAGGAAAGTACTGGAGCTAATTATAAAACAAACTACAAAATGTCCTGAAGTTTCCAGATTGAGAACCTTCATAATGACAGTCTTTTTAGTAAACAGTACAATAAAATAATCTGCACAAATGACACTCTGGCATGTACTGTTTGTCATAAGTAATTTCAGTTTTATTTACTGCATTTATGAGATGACCAAACCTGTGGGTTCTGCTGTCAGCTATGTGTACAGAAGTTTAGATTACCTTCTGGGAAGGTTATTGTACGATTGAGATGTAATGGCTATTGTACAATCACAAGGAAATGTTGTGCATGGCTACATGTATACGGGGGATTTTACTGCAAATGGGGATGGATCTTGTGATCAATACAGGCATTTCACAATGGTGCACCTCAAAAGAGTTTGCAACGCGTTGGCCAATCAGTGCGCTAAATCTGTCGACCCAATGCGCGTTTAGAAAGGGTCGACAGATCTCACACGTTGTGGTTGGCTGAAAGCGTTGTAAACTCTTGGAGGCACACTACTATGAATCGCCCGTATTCATGATCTGTCTCAGACTGCTGAAGAAGAAAGTCATCACCGGTAAAGGAAGTGTAGAATAAATGCAGTTTGAAACTACACTACCATGCACAATCGTTGTCTTGCATGAATAATGGTGTGTCTTTTGAAGTTCACTGTTGTGTGTTGATACCTCGAGGCTTTAACGTAGCCTACACGGTAGGCCTTGAAATAAATCAAATTACTCTAAGAACGAAATGTATTGGGAGCACAGCTATTAAAATCACATGCCATAGTATTAACAAATACAATGTAATGCCAGTTGGGTTTTACATACTTGGTGGAGGGGAAAACTGAAGGTGAGCCAATCAGCACAAGGCATGTCTGCACTGCAATCTGACATGTCGCAGGGTCTTTACACTGTTCTGGCTTCAGGGGCTGGGGTAATTCAAACTGTACACTGATCATCTCCTCTGAACCTACAGCAAAGTTCATGTAAAAACACAATGGACAAAACTGTGCTTAACTTGCACACTGATGCGTCTTCCAAGAATCACTGCTTTTTATATCAATGGCTTCCTTTAATGTTAATATTCACGAGGAGGGTTCTGTTGGATTTTATCTCCCGATAAAATCAAAAAGTAATGCAATCCTTTCACAACAGTTTACTACTACTCTGCTGTGCACTGGTCACAGCTCTTCATAGCCAGCATGATGGATATTGAGTCAAAAACACAATGAAGGTATACAGGTCAAAGACAACCTAGCATTCATATCAGCATATTCAAATCACAAATATATTAACAAGCCAGATACTTTTGACAGCGTGTAGCATCATTCTTACTCTTAACGTATTTACAATACCTTTTACGCCTAGCATAGAGGCAGGAACTAAACTTGACATCATGGTGATATTTGCGACTGTTTTGGCCATGTGGACAGATGGGTCGATCATCAGCATCACAGACACAGACACATTTCTCTTCATTGCCCAGTCTTCTTCATAGTCACCCACTGGGAAGGGGTCTGTTGTCAAAGAAATTGACGTGTTATCCAAAGTGTTTGTCTTCACTGTAGAAACGGCTGAGGTAACGGTCGATGTGTTCAGAGCAAGGCAGAAGTCCACCGACGATAACTCTTCAAGGAAGGAATTCCAGTCCTGCAAATAAATGAATGTTTTATTTCAGTGATTTGTGACAACCACAACCAGGATTATTTTATGAAACAAGCACCTAGAAATTAGGACCTTAAGATACCTCAAAGTTATAGGTTGCAGTGTTGTTGAGACCTCTGAAGACCATCACAAGCCTCCACAACATCAGCAATCCAAAGTAAGACCAACACAAGACCTCCACTCTGAATTCAGGTCACAAACTCTCAAAATTAAATGGGACAAAAGCATTCCTTAGTCACTGTGCATCTTGTTTTACTTGAGACTGATCTTGTTACTGGTCTTACAATAATCTCAACTACGACACTGGTGGAATAAAATATACAAAAAAGGTACACATCCCTTCATGTACATGTATACTGTGGTTTGGGGCTTATGGCATACATGTACATATGGTTTGAGAGTCACTGTCACAAACTGGAAATGTCGCATTCACAGGAGAAAATTTCCCCCATTCCAAGAAGAATTTAATTCATACCTACCTCTGATATATCATAGTTTGGTACATCATGCTGGAAATAGTAACCCAGTATGATGAGCGACAGAGCCAACAAGAACATACAAGCAATGAAGATGACAACAGGGGGCCTGCTTCTCACATGACCTTTCAGATTTTCTATAGGCTTGTATGCCATCTTTACAGCTTACTGCAAACACAAACAAAACAAAAAACATTTTAAGTATCCTGGTAATGTACAACTGGGTCTTAAAGGCCTGAGTCCCTTTTCACAGTGCTGCTTAACAGGCTGTGCAAAAGTTGGTCTTACAATCCGGCCAGATTTGAAGCACTCCCTCACTGGCAAAGAGGAGACACGTTGGTAGGAAAGGTTTCATCTGGGTGTTGGGCATACACGCAGAGACCATACATTCAGATTAAGACAGAAATTGGCCACAGATGCTCAGCATATAAACCTGTGCACATAATGTTGTGGATGTCAACTCAAAATAACTCCATTTTAGGGCAAGTCCAAGTTATTTTGCTGCTGTAAACTATGGGGAATCAATTTACGTTCTCCTCACACTAATAAAATACTGAGTGTCCCCTAAAAAAGATAATAAATACAAATCTGACACCATGTATTCCCTTCAGTACAAACGGGGGGGACCAGACCATGTCAAAGTATTTGAAAAACCTAAACTAACTGAAATACATGTAGCTGATCTTATACATGTATTTTCTTCCCATATTACTGTATTTGCTTTCCAGTTCACTGTCTGTTTCGTGGAATTCAGCAAGGTGTGTGTGGGTGGGGGATCATATTCCTATTGACGGCAAAGAGGGCATACGCAATTGTGTTGAGGTGCATATGGTACAATATATATACCAAAAAAAAATTTTTTTTAATCACATCCTGGAAAGATTTCAGGGAACTCGGGGTAATTTTTTTTTCCACGAATGTGCCTCAAGCATCCATTACGCAGGATTTGCATATCCAAGAATTCCGATTCGTAACAGTAGTTTAAATTCCGTCTTTCTATCCCACAATCCTGGACACATTTCGTTGGGCCTCCAACCCCTGGACCCCCCTTTCAATGCTGGGTCTATGTGCACAGTCTGCGCTCCAGCTGGACATGACAACATTGACCGGGGGAGTGAGGGGGCTGGAGAGTGTGTGGCTATTGCCAAGGGTCCCTACAAATTTGTCCAGGATTGTCTGAGTTTACCCATGCCTGTTTGCGTGTGTGTGGGGAGGGTCTGGTCACTTCGAGTGCGAATCATTTCTGGCATTGGCTGATTTGAACTAACACTAACTTGAAATGAGCATCAACTGAGCTGAATTCATCCTCAAAACATCACAAGCATTGTCATGATTGTCTTTTGTACATCCTCACCCAACAGTGCATGTAGGATGTGCTACAATAGGGCACACGCTACACATGTACATACAAGGCACACCCCCAACTCTGAGCCACAACACACCATTCAAGAACTTAAGTCTCTCCCCTTCTTTTTTTGTATTTCTCGACAAATTGACGGAATAACTGAAAAACAGGAATACCATACGAGTTTATGGTGTGTCCAGACCCAAATGGACACTTCATGTTTAAAAAGAGATCTTTTTTGTACACATAACAAGCAAAATGATATGGTGCATTGTTTACAATGCACGCCCACAAACATAATACTATGCAATGCAGACATCGTGCCTTGAGATTCTTTTCCTCGTAGGATTTAGCTACCCAATATCACACTTTGCTGTGGTTGCACAATACAAAAATTGATACTGATGTTCCCGTCTTTTAATTGTACGATGCAGCCATAATATATCTTTGTATTTTCAACCTGTGTTTTCCATAAAAGACGCTACACAACATGCCTTGTGAACGGCATGGTATACACATACACAACTATGAACAAATTCAAACAAACCTGGACAAATTTCATTGGGCCTCCAACCCAAGGACCCCCTTTCAATGTTGGGTCTATGTGCGCAGTCTGTGCTTCGGCTGGACATGACAACACTGACCGGGGATGGGGGGCTGGAGAGCATACGGCTATTGCCAAGTGTCCCAACAAATTTGTCCAGGATTGTAGTTCAGTCTTACTGGTCTGACATGACATTGTAACCAACTATGTTTATAGACATATTTCATTATGCTTACCAATACACAAATCCTAACCAGACCACAAAAGGAATGCACTTCAAATGTTTTCAGTATTTACAGAAACATGTACAAACTTTCTGGTGACATTTCCTTCCTTTTAATGGATCATTTTCAGTTCACTCACAATCGACTGATTTCTCAGTGATTTGACTATTGTCCGAGGAATGCATGCATCTACTATTTATGTATAAAGCAAACAAACTTTGTGGATACAGACTTTTGGTACACCAAGTTAAGTACATGTATACATGTACATGTATATGTAAAGTACACTAATGCACATGTGTACGTATGTAATTTACCTTACAAAATTACATCACAACTGAACACTGCCCTCTGAAGTAGGCGTTAGGTCCATGTATCACTTATGAAGAGTGCGTTACAGATATGTGGTGTTTGTGACATGCAATCACTCCAAAATTGATTGTACATGTAAAACTTGAACCATGTTTACAGAGTGTCAAGCAGCACCACACAAATTTTGTGCACACTTGTGGGACAGGTACATGTAATCAGTGAAGAACTGTACATGTACTTGTAAAACAACACTCATGACATTTCTAGTTTACAATACAGGTAAATTCCTTGTCATTAATCACTGAAAAGTCCACCCTAAAACACTGGAGTACTATACATGTTGGAACATGGAGGAAGGAAAAGATCTTTCTCCATGGGTTAGAACAACAACTGGTTGAAATCCTGAAACAAACTTTATCTAGGAGGATGAAACATAGGGTCTTGTGGGGAAGATCTGTCACACAGGCATGACTTATGGCTGAGAGATTATCACAACCCATAGCACATGCACATGTACATCTTTAAATTGCAAAACCTAATTAAATGTCAGTCCCATATCAAATGTAACACTCCATTCATTATGTATACACATGTACATTAAATCCATTCCAGAATCCACAGGACTTTCTACATCCAAAGGCTCGCGTACACTTTGAGCAGAAACCACTTCAAATTTCAAGTTGCCAACAAGAGCAGTTTCACGGTGGCATGGGCAAGTCACGATGCTGTGGTAACATGGATACAGCTGAGTTATTTTGTAAAATACTGGGTGATTTCTGTGACTTCTCTGGGGATGGAGGGCTAAATCTGAACATTTTTTGTTCAGTTCAAAAATTTCGAGCAAGTCGATTAAATTCATTGCACCGAAACCTAGAGCTACACCAGGAAATTCTGAATTCCGTCACAATCTAGGACTACATGTACATGTAAAGTCAACAAAAGCAACTTCCTGCTCTACCCTGTGTGGAATGCCATGAATGGCAACTGAAAATGAAACAACTTTTAAACAATCCTGCTGCAGAATGTAAGAAAAATATACTGCACATGAGTCTTGGAATCAACTACATTGTAATGTTGAATTTTTCATACTCCTTACCAGTGGACACTGGTATTATCTTTCAGGCATGACATTATAATCAGAAAAATGCTGAACGTCTGACTTCATTATCAAAGACACAATTCATTACTAATATTAAGTTGGACTTTGTAAATGAGAAGTGGCAAATTACTCGTTCCAGATTTATGTGACATTTACAACTGAATGCTGTTGTTTTTACACTCCGAGACAAAGTCGCAGAGTGGTATTTGCTACAGTGCCCAGCCTTGGTACATGTACACAGACACTTGAGAGCACACACATGCTCAACCCCCTAAGACTACATGTGTACTACGTATGTAACATAAAGCTTTGTTTAAAGGGTTTAAGGCCAAAAAAGGGTTTTCTTCTGCACTTTTTCTCTCCCCTCTTCAGCCTTCTCTCTCTCCTCCCCCTTCCTCTCTTTCTTCTCCATTTCCTGCCAGGTCACACCGTAAGCCATGCCTGCGTTATCAAATGACAACCAGCACTAATGCACATGGAAAAGAAATTCACCAGCACTGGATATGGTTTCCCCAGTAGGTGACATCAAGAGTCAGCCGCAGCCAAGTCAACTCAGTTGTGGCTTATTATACGAGTGTATGGCCCCGAAGAATGGTCTGTGTAGTTTCAACAACCGAGAACTGCTGTTTTGACCATTGTAAAATGCGAAATATGGTTGTGCGCATGTCCCACTTTTACAGCCAGGTCAAACAAAATACATAATTCATGAGTATTGACCCGGCGAAGAAGAGACTAAAAATCTGGGATCTTTTCATGAATGTTCACATTTGGGCAGTTGCTTTCACAAAAGTTCATTCATAAGAAGTATCACATAGCTGATCCTCGCAACAGAAATACTCAGTATGACAGGCGCGAAACTTGAACTTCATTACGACAACTGGCATGACTAGAGTTTCATTGGTCACTGTTGAGGGCTGGATTTCAGGATGAATTTCACAGTTTCATAGTTTCAAAGTAAGTTTTCACAACTCAAGCACCACCACCAAATATAAAAGAACAGGTTATGATCTCTTCAAATCAGGTATTTTCATGACAAGCCTCACAAAGAGTAAAAACCATGCATTTGAATAATTAATTTTTGTAACTGAGAGTGGGGTTTTCCACTAAATGTACAGCACGGTCTGGTATGGTACCAGCTTGACGGCCCAACTCTGTCATTCATTGGTCCATTTGGCTATCCAGCATTCTAAACCACAGTCCTCAAGACGTCAATGTAATGACCCAAATACACCCTCTACGTAACTGATAACCCGGCCAAAAAAATTGTTTCAGATCAATATCAATCATAACACATAACAATATACAAAGAAAACTTTCTAAATTATCCAATATTTCGGAAATATTTTGCCTCAATGCAAGGCTCCATTTAATCCCCCTCTGAAATGAAATAAACTATGAAAACAGTCTTCAGTGAAGCTATATTTCTATTGCAAGTGTACATATTTATTCATCTCAAAAAGCTATATATTTATCCATACACAGCCAATAAAGAAAATTTACAAGCATCTTGCTCACTGTAACAAATTTATGCTGGATTTTTCTTTGCCAAAGCTACTTAAATGATTATAGTGTTTTATGAAGATTTGATTACTTTGACTGGAATATGCAGTATAGTGCAACAGTGTGCAAACGTCCATTGCCACAGCGTGTAGCACGTGTGGTCATGGCCCAGCATGCCTGATTTGTAGAACTGTGGGGTCCAACGTCCGCCCCGTTCCCACAAACCCCAAAGAAAATGAGCCTTTTTTGCCATAGGCTCTGCATGATCTTATTCTAGTTGTGTACCCATAGAAATGCTGCTCCATTTCCCCCTCCCCGAGAGTTTTAGGTAAGATACATGTAGCTTACATACCTCTGTACTGAGTACCAAGATGAGAACAGGCCCAAACCATGCTGTTTTCCAAGAAAGGTTCAAATATTTCCCGATCAGTGTCAGTGATCAGACAGGCATTGATCTTTGTCCGCATCCATGTACCGCCTTAACAGAAAGTGTTCATGGTGCAACAGCACGCTCACGTACGCTGCCACCAAACAGCATTTTTCTGTCATTCCTTTAATTCGGGCATAAGTAATGAGAAGCCCTGTGATTGATCAGTGTGACCCCCCCAGCGCGCCGCAGCCAACTGCCATTTCAACCAGTGCAGTTAAGAATAACACACACCTACGGAAAGCGGCTACAGCCAATTTCCATGTCTTACATGTATGTATCGATCGCAGCCGTTATCAACCATCTGGTCACAGCTCGTCTTCGGAAGTACACATCGGAAATATTTGCACCTTTTTTTGGAAAACGGCATGGTTTTGGCTCGTCTTTTTCTTGGAACTCATTACAAATGTATGTATGCTATCTTACATAGAACTCTGGGGGGAAATAGAGCAGCATTTCTTTGGGTACACAACTAGAATAAAATCCCTGTTCATGCCCTGTTAAATGTCATGCAGAGACTATGGCGAAAAAGGCTCATTTTCTGTGGGGTCAGACCCCACAGTTCTGGAGGTAGTGTAGCCCAGGTTGGACGTTGTCCTCATTTCATTGCAACTGACGTCCAGGGTATAAAAGTTCTGTACAAAACGACCACAAATTTGGTTCTAATTTGTTCTTGGTTTACCTTGTTGAAGAAACTAATTTTTCACGTTTACAAGTTCTTCAAGGCCTTATCTATCCGTCTAGGAGGTTTAGGAATTTCAAAACGAACCATGGACTGCAAAATCGAGGAAAATAAGTGAAAGACAAAGTTACATTTGTAGACCTAATTCATCCGTTCTCGAGTGCAGTTGTAAAGTGCACATACGTACAGTATGGGAATCCGAGCTGCGTGAACACAGTAATGCGCAATTTCCAGTAAAGGTCTGTTGCTTGCCTGCTACACGGAGGCTGTGACTGGTACCTGGCTTTAACCCGCATGCCTTCAGACTGACCAATTAACCCACTATTGGTTCCTCCTAAAATGTTCACATCTTATTTTGCTTTAAATTTTGGTTTATAAACATAAATTTGGGACACAAACTGCTATTTTAAGAATAACCTCAGTTAGCGTAGAAGGCTTTGTATTTGCAGGGTTCTTGTAGTTGTACGGCAAGAAGTTCATCAACAACCTCTCTATGAAGTGTTTAACATGTTTAAGTTGTTCGTAGAGTTGTATTGGTTAAAGATGTATAAATACACAATATTGTAGATATCCAATTTTTATTAAAATGAAACAGTAACTTATCTTGATAATTGAGGCATAAAAAGACGATTACATTGCGGGCATGATGATCGTGACGAACTGGCGAGAGCGATGCTATACTGATGAGGAACACAGTAGCAGAGGCAGTACTGGCAAGAGCGCGCACACGTGCGGTAAGTAGAGATCACGAACAAATTGTGTTGTTGATCAGCCTTTCCTTTTTTTATTGGTAAACTAAACATACAATAAGCAGACTGAATTGGTAATTGGCAGTAACGAGTTGGATTTTAGAGCAATGGACTTCTATTTAGAATTAACTTCTATTGAATTTTGTGGACACCTTTTGTCTATTTTAAGTCCACCTGTTAACACATAAGACATGCTCAAAAATAGCAACGATTTACACAAATCGTGAATTTTAATTTTCCCGTACTGGCCGCAGTAGACTCAGCTTGCATGCAGGTAACTAGGCCAACTGTAACCAACGCAGGCCACAGCCTCCCCCCCAGCCTGATGTTGTGTGTACTTGGCATGGAGATCAATGGTACTCGTGGTTGAGAACCACTGTGCCATTGTGCGGTTAACGTTTTTGAAACCAGTGGATTCGTTTAGACTTCAGTTTCACTGGTTCCAGTCAGAACATGTAGACCTAGTTTCGATGTGATGGAAGCGGCTCGGAATCTTGTATGCTGAATAGTTGCACGCGCACACTGTACAAATTGCACTGGCTGTATAGCTGACTGGAGAACGGCTGAAAACGGTCCGAAACAATGACAAGAATTAACATTACGTCTGACTTTATTTTCCCGTTTTCGTCTTAAGTGGTGATGTGTCGAATTTCTTAACCCACCACACGTGGAGATAAGGACGCATAGGAGTTATAGACATAAAATTGGCTCCTTGGAAAAGGTAGAAATGTTGCAAATTTTAGTTACAGAATTTTTTGTTTCCCCCCATTTTCGCACCCTTTATACCCTGGATGGAGCTGGAGGCTGGACTTCCTCCGTCATGTCCGTAACGTAGTACGGTCAGGGAGTCCACCCGAGCTAGGGGTAGTGTAGAAACCAATGAAAATAAATGCAACAAATACACACACACGTACTGATAAAAGAAATTATTGTGCAATCCAATCTTTTGACTGGCCGGTGCATGCGTACGTCGCGGAAATGACTAGATATTAACCCGTGAAACCTGGTCT